AATGTAAATCACTGGGAGGGTGATGAAGCACTGGAATGCGTTACCTAGGGAGGTGGTGGAGTTTCCTTCCTTGGAGTTGGAGGTTTTTAAGGCCCATCTTGACAAAGCCCTTGCTGGGATGATTTAGTTGGGAATTGGTCCTGCTTTGAGCAGGGGGTTGGACTAGATGACTTCTTGAGGTCCCTTCCAACCCTGATATTCTATGATTCTATGACATGGCTGGGTTGAGATTGTGAACTATGCACCAAAATGTTCTCCAGCAGGACCATCTGCTTGTGTCAGTTCCAGGGGCTGTTCTTGCATGTCCCTGTCTCTCTCACGGCTGTCCCTTGTCAATTCTCTATCCTTCTCTGCGAGGAGACCTTTTCTCTACATCCGTGCCTTCTTAACCCTCTTCTGAGATGCAGACACAAGGTCCCCAAACATCTCATCTTCCTTTTGCTGCCCTGAAAATTTGTTGGGCAGTTAGAGGTTGAAAACACTCCTGGCCGGTGTTTGGGGGGCGTGGAGGGGCGCCAGGTGCAGGAGCTGCAAAACAGAACAAGTAGTTATTGTTCTAATTCCAGTCTTCATGGCAACAATGAGAAAATGTTGCTGTCTCTTCAGTTTTGGAATACCACTCCTGTCGTCTCTCCCAGCCTAGGGTGGGCTTGGAGATGGTAAGACATTTGCCACCTCCCCTCACCGTCAGATAGGACCCCAAACCAATCCTGGGTCGCTGGTAGGCTGTGGGGTTGGGGCTTGGGGTTGGATGGTAAGGCTAAGGGGTGGCAGCAGGGGACAGGTTACTAACTTCATGTACATCTCTGATTCTCAGATTGCAAGGCCAGAGGAACCTCTGTGATCATCCAACCTGACCCCTGTAGAACACAGGCCAAAAGAACTGCCCCAAAAGAATTCCTAGAGCTGATCTGTAAGAAAACATCCCGTCTTGATTTAAAATTGTCAGTGATGGAGAATCCACCGTGACCCTTGGTCAGTTGTTCCAATGGCTAATTACCCTCCCTGTTAAAATGTATGTCTTATTTCCAATCGGAATTTGTTTAGCCTCAACATCCAGCCCTTGTGTCAGGTTAGACCTTTCTCTGCTAGATCAGTTGGGCAGCAGGTTACTAATTACATTTTTGAAGCCTGTCCCTACTTTGGAGGACGTTGCCCTGAGGCATGCCACAAAGAGACAGAGAAGGCACTAGGCAGGCCAGCACGATATGCAGCGGCACTAGTCACTAGAATGGTCCCCTGCATAAGTTGCTACTTGTGCAGGCAGCCCTGAAAAGGCTGTGCTGCCTGGTAATGTGAGTGCCAAAACGCACTGTCTTTGCCTTAAAGTCTCCAACAGCTTCAGACCAGAACAAAATGCACGGCAAAATAAACAGACCTCTGCAGGAATTATTCTGAACCCAAGGGGTTAACAATGCTGAGAGTCTGAGCTAGCCCAGTGCCCTGTCATCTCTATGCATTTTAAACTGTCTCACTTTGGGAGATATACTTCATCAAACGCTACGGTCGCAGAAAGCTCAGAGCACCACTCAAAGTTGGAAGCAAAGGGCCATTTTATATTGATTTCTCTCTTTCCGCATTTGCCGTTTCAATAAACAAGCCTGCATTACAATGCATTAGATTTTTAACCCCCGTGGTGCGCCAGCCAGGTATGGGGAGCAGCGGCTGCACAGGTCGGAGAGGGAAGTTTTTGATATTTCAGAGAAATACACAGTGCGTAGGTCACAGTCTACCAGTGCCATTTTGAGTACGTGGGGATGGGGCCAACGGAGCGGGAGAGGGACAGGGGAGGGTGAGTGCTGGGTTGGCCGATGGCTGAGGGAGATTTACATTTCAGAGAAATAAACACTGCAGAGCTTAAATTCTCCACCATGGATCATGCTATTATGAGCAGGGGAAAGGGGAAGGAGAGGACGATAAAATCTGAGCAGGTTCAGGCTCCTAGCTCACAACTGCCCAAAACGGCCGCAGCCACTGAGTCCTGGAACAAAAGTTGTTTAACACCCTGTAAAAGAGCCCCCCGCATTTTTTTCCCCAATGGTGGGAGTCCCTGGCCATGCCCATTGTCCTTGCAAGAGGAACCCCGTCCTTTGCGACTCTTCTTGTGTCTCTTCTGCTGGGGGAATCGAAAGGAAAATAAATGTTCCAGTGCCCCTGTAGTGAGTCGGTGTGGCTCCCCTCCTGCCCAGAAGAGGGAGCCCACGTGCAGGCACCAGAGTGGGTGGGACCACCACCGCCTGTCCCCGCCCCCCGGAAGTCAAGGGGCGGGACAGGAAGTATAAAGGCTGGCCGCCAGAGCTCAGTCGGCGGCCAGCCACCGCAGGGAGCAGATGTGTGGCCGGGAGCTCCCGGCCAGGAGACCGCCGAATACTGAGG